TTGTAATTAACTGATAATGCTGTACTCAGGAGACCCAGGATTACAGATATGTTTATTAGGCTCAGAAAAAAAAATCACATCATTAGACTCAAAGCCTGAATCAGCTCGGAGCTATACCATCAGACTCCAAGTCTCACTCAGCTCCCCAGTTTTCCTCTCAGTCAAGGAGCCCAAAGGAGTGAGAGGCCACTAGAATATCCCATCCTACCACCTCAACCTGGGCATGATTCCCTCTGCTCTAATCCCATTCCTTCTTCCACAATGTCATTGACCCAGGCCATCCCAGACTATAGAGAAGCTCTTCCTCCTATAATCCCCACCCCCAGAGATACTCCTGGTATAATTCTTTGGCAGCTTTTCACGTACAGTTTCTTGATCTCTCTTCCTTTTGTGACCATTGGACAAATTAATCAACCTTCCTAAGCTTCAGTTTCTTGTTTGTAAAATGGGCATTATCTCACAAGATTGTTATAAAGTTCAGATGAGTTATCATATAGATAGTGGTTTTCCTTCTTTTAACCTGAGGCCTCCAGGCCAAACAAGGCCCTCTAGGTCCTCAAGTACGGCCATTTGACTGATTCCAAACTTCACAGAGCAAATCCCCTTAATAAAAGGATTTGTTCTGTACAACTTAGACTTAGTCAAAAAGCTACACGCAAAGACCTAGAAGGCCACATGTGGCCTCAAGGCTGCAGGTTCCCCATCCCTGAAATACGAGGTCTAGCTATACTTTTTTTTTTTTTGGTATTTCCACAGCATCTGGAGCAGTGTCTTACATACAGTAGACAGTGAATAAATGCACTTAGGAGCTATGTGAACTTTAGGAAGTTCCCCTCTGAGTCTCTGTTTCCATAGCTGAAAAATGGGGGTGAGGGTGGGGTGGGTAGACCTGATGATACCTAAGATCCCCTCCAGCCCTAAAATCTTAAAATCTTTAGGGCACAGTAGATAGTGGCAGACTGAAGTCAAGAAGACCTGAGTTCAAATCTAGCCTCAAGACACTTACTGCAAACTGTGTGGCCCAGGGAAGGTTACTTAATCTCCTATGACAAGAACACCTACCTCATGAGATTGTTGATGAGGAACAAATGAAATGCCATATGAAAAGCAATTTGCAAATGTTAAGGTGTTATGTAAGTGCTAGCTATCATTATTATTACTGTTGTTGCTGTTATCTAAAAATCTATGTTTTTTTACATTTTGACCTATCTAGATTCCACTTCTCAGGGAAGTATTCCTAATAAATGACAGCATTAGGGGAAGTACACTTGGCCCATAGCTCTAGAGTGAGCACAGGAATCAGAGAGATAAGCAGACTAGAGAACGTTTGAATGATTTTTCCAATTTGCAGAGCAAATGGTGATCACTCCACAGGGCAAATGGACCTAGTCTGGGCCAAGTAAAAAAAGACTTTAAAAGGTCCTGCTCTCAGAAAGCCTTCTAGCTAGTCAGAGAAGCAAGAGAAACAGGAATGAATGTATGTACAAATAATGACAATTACATGTCCCCCCCACCCCCATCCAAACCCTGGCCTATATGGAGGCCCATTTCTGCCTGCCTTCCTTCCTTCCTTCCTTGACTTCTGAAGTCCAAAGTGATCTCACCCTTCCCTGAATTTTTACAGGATTTATAGTCTATGTCACACAATCTGCCCTTAAACTATTAATAATATTGCATTCTCTAATGGTTTCTTTTTTACGGCTCTAGCACCAAGATGGGCACAGAGCAAACATCCATATGGAGGGAGAGGAGATTTAATAGCCGTAATTCTAATGCCTTCCCTCTGTTAATTATCTCCAATTTAACCCATATATATCTTGTTGGCACAGAGCTGATTGTCTCCCCCATTACGTTGTGAGTTCCTTGAGGTCAGAGACTGGTTTTGGAATTATTGTTTTCTTGCTTTTCTTTGGATCCCTGCTCTTAACAAAGTACCCATCACATATTAAGCTTACTTACTTAATATTAATAATCAATTATTTATTTAATAATATAAATAAATAAATATTAATAATTAAACTTAAAAATGCTTGTGGACTGATTTACTGTCAAAGTGTTTTATATATTGTCTCATTTGAATCTCACAATAATCCTCTGAGGTGGGTGCTATTGTTATGCCCACTTTACAGATAAAGAAACTGAGGCTTTTAGTGTGTTAAGTTACTTCCCTAGGGTCATTCAGTTATTAAGTAGAAGACCAACTCAGGTCTTCCAACTCCAAAATCATTATCCACTGAGACACCTAGCTCCCTCTAAAGATGTTAGCATGCTAAGTAAGTCAGGCCTGTGATAGCTAATTTTATTACTTTTAAATTAAACAAATTTTAGTTGATTAATTAAATTAATTGTATTTTAATTATATAATTAAATCATTTTAGTTAATTATATTTTAATTATTTTTTCAGGTGGCACAGTGGATAGAGCACTGTGCTTGGAATCAGGAAGACTCATCTTCATGAGTTCGAGTCTGGCCTCAGACACTTACTAGCTGTGTGACCTTGGGTAAGTCACTTAACCCTGTTTACCTCAGTTTTCTCATCTGTAAAATGAGCTGAAGAAGGAAATGGCAAACTATTCTAGTACCTTTGCAAAGAAAACCTCAAATAGAGTCACCAAGAGTCAGATCCGACTGAAACGACCAAATAATAACAAATTGTTTTTAATAATACACAAAAACACTTTAGAGTTTATAAGCCACCTACATATACACATATAATTCAACATAAGCCAAAACAACCTTATCATGTACGTAGTACAAGTATTATCCCCATTTTATAAGGGAGGAAATTAAGGCTCAAGTCAGTTAATCACATATCCAAGGTCATACATCTAGTAAGTGCTGGATCAAGGATATAGGTTTTCTGATCCTAAATTCAATGTGGAGGGGTTTCCTAACCTTAAATTATGCTGCTTACACATATGCATTATTAGAGGGTTAGAAGATAGCTTAATAGTGTATGTTCATTTTCCCCTAACCACCAAAAGAGACCTTTCTCTTTCTCCTTACCTTCTTCCTTCATCATTCCTACTTTCACCCCCATCTCACACTCTCCCTTTGTGACATTTCACATCTAGGCCAACAATGATGTCCAGTGAAGCGTTCTGGTTTTTTTTTTTCCTCCTTCAGGTTCGTTGGCCCATATTTAGACCAAGTGAGACCCCTGCGACCTCTTGTCTCTTCTAACAGAGAGACACCCTGTCTGGACAGCTCCCCCTCCCCTTGCTCGGTTTGTGTTTCTGAATGCAGGACTGGAGTGATTCACTGCAAAGGAAGCTGCCAGCTGCTGACCTCATCTCCCTCCCTCTGCCAAACCTTCCCAGGCCTACACATCTGACGTTTCCTATGTCCTTCAAGAGGCCTTTCCTGATTCCTCCAGGTGTTAGCTCTCCCCTCATCAGTCACTGTGTGTTTATTTTATCAATCAATCACCAAGCATTTCTAGCACCTCCCATGTCCCAGGCACTGCTAACGGCTGGGGATAGAACTATGAGGAATGAAGCAATCTCTGATCTCAAGGAGCTTACCTGCTGACAGCGGACATAACAAAGGTGCATCACATACAGAATAAATGTAAGAAGATACAAGATAGTTAAATACAGGCAGCTAGATGGAGCAATGGATAGAGCACTGGGCCTGGAGCCAAGAAGACTCATCTTTCTGAGTTCAAATCTGGCCTCAGATACTTGCTAGCTGTGACCTTGGGCAAGTCATTTAACCCTGTTTGCCTCAGTTTCCTCATCTGTAAAATGGGCTGCGAGAAGGAAATGGCAAACCACTCTAGCATCTTTGCCAAGAAAACCCCAAATGGGGTCACCAAGAGTCAGACACGACTGAAATGACTGAACAACATAAGTACAAGGTAGTCTGAGAGGAAGGGTCCTAGAAGATGAGAGGATCAGGACTAGCCTGATATAGAAAGGGATTCTTAAAAGAAGAGCAGGATTCTATGAGGCAGAGGTCAGGAGAGAGGACATTCTGGCATAGTGCATGATCCATGTAAAGACACAGAGTTGAGAAATGGAGTGTCATGTGTAAGTTATAGAGAGAAGATAATTGATAATAATAATAGCTAACATTTATATAGTACTTACTATGTACCAGGTACTATGCTAAGCACTTTACAATTATTATCCCATTTGATCCCTACAACAACCCTGGGAGGTAAGTGCTATTGTTATCATTATTGAACAGCTGAGGAAACTGAGGCAGACAGTGGTAAAGTGACTTGCCCAGGCTCACACAGCTGATAAGTGTCTGAGGTAGGATTTGAACTCAGCTCTTCCTTACTTAAGGCCCAGGGCTCCATCCAGTGCACACCAGCCTAGCTACACAATCAGCTTGACAGGATTGCAGAGTACAGAAGAGAGAGCAGTGTCCAATGCAGCTGGAAAGTTAGATTCTGGCAAGATGGTGAAGAGCTTTAAAACCAAACAGAGGTATTGCCGTTTTATCCCAGTGACAATAAGAGACCACGGGGATTGAATGAACATGGGCTGATTTGATCAGATCTGTGCTTAAGGGATCACTTTGGCAGCAGGGGTACAGAAAGCACCAGAGTGGAGGGAGACTGGAAACAGAGAAACTAATTAGCAGTCTGTTACAATAATATAGGTGAGAGGGAGGGAAACCTGAACTAGGGTATAAGCTGTGTGAGTGGAGGAGAGTCAGATACAAATGTCTTAAAGGTAGGAAGGCGAGATTTGCCCACTGATTAGCTATGTGTGGTGATGGACAGTGAGAAGTCATAGATCCATGAACTTGGATCCCTCCAGTAGAATGGAAGCTCCTTGAGGGCAGATGGTCTCACTTTTGTCTTTATATCTCAGGCCTAGAACAGTGTCTGATACCCAGTAGACACTTATGAAGTGCTTGTGGATGGATTGATGCCTGCCTGCCCTCAGCCCTTCTCTTTCCATTTCTCCCCCTTACCCCATCAAGTTTTTCCTGTCCTTGCTTTCCCCAGGTAGTCTGCATGTATGGAAAAGAAGCTTGTACTCACAGCTCAAGGATGAGGACCACATCTGTTCGGTTCTCATAGACATCATGAAGTTTGATGACATTGGGGTGCAGGATCTGCTGCAGAATGTGCACCTCCCTCTCAATCTCCTCCCGCTGTACCCCTCGACGGCTTGCCTGGCTCTGCCGTTTCTTGATGAATTTGGCAGCATACTCAGCCCCGGTGCTCTTCTCCCGGCATTTCTTCACTATGGCAAACTGGCCACTGCAGAAAGACAAATCCACACCACAAAGTGATGTACAATCACAACAGCAATAACAATAAAAATAACCAATGGCAATGAACATGTACAAAATCAGATTTTCTAAGTCATTTGAATAACGAAAAGAGGTTGTAATTCCAGCTGGGATACCCGCAACACCTTTATTACCATTAATATGCTTTCAAGTCAGAATTCAATAGGAACCTTATGAGACAGGGAAGGGCATCTATTTCTATTTACTCTCAATAAAAAATAAGAAAACTGAGGCCCAGAGAGTGTAAGGACGCCCAATGAGTTGGTTAATTGCTGAACCAGGGCTAGGTCCCAGGACTTTGCATTCCTAAACCAAGCTACCTCAAGACCAGAACAAAGCGAGAAGTTGACAAACCTAGTAATTACTGTAAGAGAATAATAGATTAAGAGTTGAAAGGGGCCAAAAAAAGTCATTTAGTGCAACGCCCTTTGTTTGATAGATGAGGAAATAGGCCAAAAAACCAAAGTGATTTATGAAGGTAGAGAGCTGTTTCAGGCTAGGTCATGAGTTGTGGGGCTTTGGTGGGACATCGTAACACGATGATGATACATGATGAAAAGGAGAAGAGGATCATGGTAAAACATTCTTCTACACTGAGTAGACATCTGTAGTCAGTGATTGGAAAGAAAATTACTTATGCTGGAAGCCCTGGGCTTCACAGGTGGACTGGCTAACCTCAAAAATGTCTTTCCTTCTGTTCTCTAGCATATGGCTACATCAGGAGAAGAGAGGCATCTGGGAAGACTTTCCCATTATCATTTTACAAGGAAGCAGAGAGGTAGAAAAAGTAGCTTTTGGACCTGTTACTCACTGGAAAGTGCCAAGGGGCTTTCGCTGCTGGGTATATGCTAGCCCTGTCAGAGACTGTTCTACCCTGTTCTTTCCCCATATTCCCACCAGTGCCCACAGAGCCCTTGGAGCTAGAGAGAATTAGAAAGGTGATGAAATCAGGCTTAGAAAATTTAATGCAGAACAACCAATACCTGCTGGTGCAGAAGGCACTACATTTGAAGTCAGAAGATGAGGGTTCACATTCTGACTTTGTACCTTAGTATTTAAGTTACTCCAGTAAAATCTCCTTATTCACTGTGTCTGTCTCTTTCTTCTGTCTGCTTCTCTCTCTCTCTCTGCCTCCCTCTCTGTCTGCCTGTCTGTCTCTCTCCATCTCCCTCTGTCTGTCCGTCTGTTTCTCTATCTCTGTCTCTCTCAGGTTCTTCATCTGTTAAATAAGCAGGCTAGGTGAGATAATCTCTAAGCACCCTAAATCCTATGGTCCTATGGTCCTATAAACCAGTCTTCTATGCCTTTTGTACACATTCATTTAAGGACAACAGAATGACCATTACTAGAAGGAGAAGTGGAAAATTGACTCTCCCCTCAGAAAGTCACTCCAGATTGAGAGCTCAAATCCAGAGGAAACCATAAGAACACCCCAGAGTCAGGAAGCAGCACAGGAACTAAAATCAATCAACAAATATTTACTGACCTCCTTTCCTGAGCTCATCAAAGTGCTAGGCATAGAATCAAATACAGATTCTGCCCTTGGAGTCAGGAAAACCTGAGTTTAAATCTTGCCAGACACTCATTAGCTGTGCCTCCCTGGGCAAGTCATTGGCCTCTACAAGTCTCAGTTTCCTCATCTGTAAAATGGGGATCACAATAAACACCTACCTCACAGCATTCTTATGAGATTCAAATGATACAATATTTGTAAAGGGCTTAGCTCAATGCCTAGCACATGGCAGGCACTATTATTATCATTCTTATTATTATTATCATTACATAAAGAGGCAATTAGGTAGCATAGTAGATAAAGTATTAGGCCTGGAGTTAGGAAGATCTAAATTCAGATCTAGCCTCAGATAATTTCTATCTTTGTGACCCTGAGCAGGTCACCTAACCTCAGTGTGCCTCAGTTTCCTCAATTGTAAAATGGAGATAAATCTGCATAACCTCCCAGGGTTGCTGTGAGAAGCAAATGAGATAATATTTGTAAAAGTGCTTAGCAGAATGCCTGGTAAATGGTAGGTGCTTAATAAATGCTTATATCCTTCTTTCCAAGTAGATCATTTTGCAAACCTTCCAGTGCTATATTAATGCTTTCTGTTATTGTTATTATTATATTACAGGCAGCTAAGTGGTATAGTGTGTAGAGTGCTGGACCTGGAGTCAGGAAGACTCCTCTTTCTGAGTTCATATCTGGCCTTAGATCCTAGCTGTTTGACCCTGGGCAAGTCACTTAACTCTGTTTGCCTCAGTTTCCTCATCTGTAAAATGAGCTACAGAAGGAAATGGCAAACCACTCCAGTGTCTTTGCCAAGAAAACTCCAGCTGGGTCATGAAGAGTCAAACATGACTGAACAACAATAAATTATTATTATTAATGTAGCACTTAAAGATTTGCAAAGTGCTATATTAATGTTAGCTATTATTATTACTGGAGGCAGCTAGGTGACTTAGTTGATAGAATGCTGGGACTGGAGTCAGGAAGACTCAAGTTCCAAATGCAGTCTCAGACACTTACTAGCTGTGTGACCCTGGGTAAATCACTTAACCTCGGTTAGGTTTGTCTTAATCTACTGGAGAAGGAAATGACAAACCACTCCAGTATCTTTCCCAAGAAAACCTCACAGACAGTACAACATGATTATTATTAAGGACAGAGGCATAAATATAAAATTGGAAAGACATAGTATAAATACATGAAAAGGGGGAACAAGGCAAGACAAAAATAGGGGTGATGTCATGACACAGTAGGAAATGGAAGCCCCATGAGTAAGGATTATAGATATTTAGAGAAGAGGAGAGATCCCTCAGGGCAGTACGGGGCTAGAGAGACTTCAATGAAAGAAACATTTAAACCATACATCAACCCTACCACTATTCTCAGTCAGGCCCAGCGCTGGCTTTAAACCATCCACTTTGGGATCTGACTCAGACCAAAGCCAAGCTGACCCATTTAGCCCCACTACTTCATCTCATCATCTCCAGATGCCTGAATCCCAGCATCCCCTCAAAGACTTCCACTTGGCATCACTTATTTCTGTATCTCTCCTGGTGACTAGCACAGGCTTCTGCCCTAGGATGGAGTTTAATAAATGTCAGGTGAACTAAATTAAATTGAATTACTTAAAAATGCTTCCTGTCAGGCCCTTCTGGTCAAACTAAGCCCCATTTATCATGTCCCAAACATCCCTTCCAACTGTGTGTGCTGCCAAAATCTCACTGATATTGCCAAAAAATCAGGATAGCCTTGCTTCCCCCCTCTCTCCTAATTTACTAATAAACAGTAAGCATGTCACATTTAAGTAGTGTTTTATACTTTTCATAGATCTTTTCTTTGAGCCTCACAATTATCCTGTGAGGCAGGGAGGGTTGACAGATGGGGAAAGTGAGGCTTAGTAAGGCACCGGTCCAAGCTAATTTGGGGCAGGGCCCAATTCCCCTACTATTAGTCCTATGCTCTGTCTTCTCCATCACTATTCCACAGACAAGCAAATTTGAACCCAAGTCAGGGACAGGAGCTAGGGAGAGCGGGGGAGAGAGTTTTATGAGAACAGGATCTCCACCCATAGACAGTTCAGGTCACCTTGATCCATTTTCCCCTTGTCTGTGTTAAAGGGGAGCAGTGACGTCCCTCTGACGCCGGACTTTTTAAAATTTCCCTTTAAGCTTCTAGAGGAGAGTGAATGTAGTTTGCATTTGCTGGCAGATTTTCTTGTTGTAGAGTAGCAGTTAAATGTGAGAGGTTAATGCTGGTCAGGCTGAGTGCTGGCGTCTTCCTATCACACTGAGAGGGAAGTATTTTAAGAGTGGATGACTAATAGAATACCAGACAGACCTGAGACTCATTTAGCATTCGCCTTCTGATGGGAGAGGAGTTTCACTAGAGACCCATCCCTGGCAAGAGCCCCAGCCTGGAACTCCTCCTTCTTGCTCCTGGCTCTCATTTAGATCCACTGTGAATAGGTGGTCACTGCAGGCTACAGGGCTCCAAGCAGGTCAGTCTCATCCTCACTGTCGCCTGTAATAATCCATGCTCAGGCTCGTTCCAACTGAGACTGATGCCCTAAGTGAGAACTTGGAAATCATCCCAAATTTTACTTCCTTTAAAAGCCCCGATCAGGTTTCACACCTCGTATTTATAGAGGGCTTTGAGGTTGCTATTGTTGTTGTTCTGTCTTTTCAGTCATGTCTGACGCTTCATGACCCCATTTTGGGGGTTTTCTCCACAAGATACTGGAGTAGTTTGCCATTTCCTTCTCTAGCTCATTTTTTACAGATGAGGAAACTGAGGCAAACAGGGTTAAGTGACTTGCCCAGGGTCACACAGCTAGTTACAGGTCTGAGGCCAGACTTGAACTCAGGAAGATGAGTCTTCCTGATTCCAAGCCCAGTGATCTATCCACTTTCAGGTTTACCAAGTGTTTTTTCCACATAACAAATCCTAGAAGTAAACAAATTATTATTCCCATTTTACAGATGAGAAAACTGAGGCCCAGAGAGGTGTCAGAATTTGAATCCAGGCCTTCTGACTCCAAATCCATCACTTTTCCACTCCATCAGATGACACTTATGAGGAATTCCTTCCAGTCCCCCAGTTTAGCCTTTTATTGTTCTCTGCTTCCTTACATTTCTTCTCAGCTAGACTATAAGCACCCTGAGGACAGGCACACTGCCTTAGGCTTATCTTTATTTTCCAATAGTGCAGGGCTTCTTTTAAGTCTCAGCTAAAGTTATGCTTTTTACAAATTAGCCTTTCCCAGTACTCTTCCATCTTAGCGCATTTCCTCTGAGATTATCTCATTTATCCTGCATAAATCTTTGTACATAGTTCTTTCTGCCAGGTGCAATGAAAAGAGTGCTGGTTCTGGAGTCAAGAAGACCTAAGTTCAAATCCAGCCTCAGACATTTACTGGCTGTGTGACCCTAGGTAAGTCACTTCACCCTGTCTGCCTCAGTTTCCTC